AGTTCAGAAATTTTTTTTTTCGATACCAGATCTCATTGGGGGAAAACGTCATTATTCTAAAAGATGCGCGTTGTAAACTAGCAATGTTATTAATTAAAAAGTTTCTTTTTTGACCCCAAAATATACAATAATAGCAAAGGTGAGAAGAGAATAAAGAAAATTAAGTCATTTCCAAGAGTTTCGATAGGAAACATAGTAACGAATTAGAGAAAGCATACTGTTAGCTCATGTAAGTTTTTTCTAGATGATACAGTTGATTATACCAAGATAGTTTTTCATCAAGATATATTCCAAGACTATATACTTTATAGAATTTGATGGAAAAAGTTTTTTTACCGGTAATTTTAATTTTAATATGAGCAATAGTTTTTTTTAGGGGAATGAAAAATAATGTATTCAGTCTTATTGACATTCAAGAAAATACGGTTACTATTTAACCAGTTACATAAGCGATGAAGATCTTGATTAACTTTTTTTACAAAAAGTTGTGAGGGACTTGTTGATATATAAAAGATTGGTATCGTCAGCATATTGATGTATCATAAAATTTTTTTAATGAACAAGATAAATCATTTATATATAATAAGAACAACAACGGTCCAAGAGCGGAACTTTGTGGAACGCCATATTTAATAACTTTATGTGTGGATTCAAATCCATTAATTGAAACAAACTGAGTGCGATCCGTAATATATGAAGTAAACCAATGATTAGCAATACAAAGTATTTTGTAGTAGTTTAACTTTTTTTATTAGAATGTTGTGATCCACCGTATCAAAAGCTTTTTGAAGATCTATCAATACACCACAAGCAATAGAACCACTGTCAATTGCACCACGAATCATTTCAGTAATGATAATAAGAGCGTGAGAAGTGGAGTGATTTGAGCGAAACCCAAATTGTCGAATATGAAAACAAGCAGAATTATTCAAAAAGTTGTAAACACGAGAATACATAATTTTTTCTAAAAGTTTGCTGACATTTGATAATAATGATATTGGTCTGTAGTTATTACATTCAAGTTTTGAGTTTTTTTTTATGAATTAAGATAACAGAAGCAGTTTTTGAAATATCAGAGATTACACCGGTTGTGAATGACAGATTAAATAGTTCAGAAAGTACAGGAGAGATATCATTTGCAAGAGCTTTAAAAATAGGTATTGGAATGCTGTTAGGTCCCCGAAACCTTGCTGTCATGAAGAGAATGAATAATCAATAATTCTTCGTTTTTGTCTGTAGGTTTTATAAACATTGAATTAAGATTATACTTTTTAAGATATTTATTAAAGTCAGTATTGGATGAGTGGATCTTATTCTTTATATCTTCCGGAACTGAAACAAAGAATTAATTAAAAGATTCCAAAATTTTAATGGGGTCGTATGTCATGGAGTTGGTAGAAGATAAGCATGAAGGAGATGAGTTAACTCTCGAACTAATGTTTAAAAGGTTCTTAATACCATCCCATGTAGATTTCAAATTTTTGGCATTTGCAG